CTTTGGTGTGCTTGAACTCTCCACGTCCTTCCCTTTGTTTCTTTTCAATTCGGATTCGGGGTCTTCAAACGGGGGTACCAGTGGTGTGTTTGCTCCTCTGGTCATGAAAGTCCTGAAATTAATCAAATAAAAAGCGTAAAAAGAACAAAAAGATTATAAACAACTAAAAGGAAAAAAATTTCTAAATAAGCTGTTACTCGCCGAGTAGGTGCGAGTGCACTCGGCGAGTATCAGTGATTTTTCAAAAAAAATTCTAAGTTTTTAACCTAACTAAAACAGATACTAAAACCTAATTACTAGTTACTAAATTGCAATAAATGAACTTTATGCAAGTAAACTCACACAAAGGATCAAAAAAATTAGGAATTAGCTTAATTATTTAGAACCGTTCCCTGGCAACGGCGCCAAAAACTTGATGTGTGTAAGTTCAACTAGTTTTATCCCTACTTTTTATTAATAATTTGAGCACACAAAGGCAGTGAACCTGTCTTTAAGTGGTATAGATTGATAAGTAAGGTATCGAACTCAGGGAACGGAAATTAAACTAATAGCTAATTTTAACTAAAACAAATAATAAAAGTAAATGGTTTTTCTCTAGTTTTGCAAGACTAGAAACTTAAGCAAACTAAATTTAACTAATTAACTAAAGCAACAACTATTCACCAAATTTGATAAAGATGTTTCTATTTAGGTTCAACCAATTCACTCCAATGGTTATTTAAGTTAAGGTAGATTAATCGCTATTGGTTACCAATGATAATAGTTAGGTTCATGTTCATTACTCCTAACCCTTAGACAATTAACTAATTTAAGCGTTGATCAAGTGTTTAAACTAATTAATTCCCTAGATTAATTATTTGGATTAAATAAGATTTGTAATGGTCAATTAAGTTATCAATTCAATTAACCTCTTGTTGATGGTTTCTCAAACAAGCTCACACATTAATCTTCCTATTTTCTTATTAATCTTAGTTTCATACTCATTACTTCTAAGCATACGTTTTAGCATTCACATAGACATATGAGGTTAACAATTAAGTGATGTTCATGCAACCTAATTGCCTTCCAATTAACAAAAAATAGTAGTGATTAACACATAAGGTTCTTTAACAAACTTAATTTAATAAATCACCAATAGACAATTAAACAAAATTCAATAATTAAACCATAGGAGTTCTTTGGTATTCCCCAAACAGAAACAAAAATGAGTTTAGCTCATAGTTGCAGCAGAAACAAGCATAAAAACAAAGTTTATGAAAGCAAACACGTTTAATTCCTAAGTCTAAGTGGTAGAATTAACCTAATTGCTTGAATTCTTCCAACTCTTGAAGCTTAGGGTTCTTCAGCGCCTTCTGAACCTTTTAGTCGCAGCTAATCCTTCAAAATCGCCAGGGGTTCTGTCCCATGTGATAAGGATTCGTCTTTTAAAGATATCCCAAAACAGAGGGTACTCGGCGAGTAGCAGAATCAACTCGCCGAGTAGGTCAATACTTATCCGTCTTTAGATTAGCAGTCGTATATATCTTCTAGCATCTCATCGTGTACTCGCCGAGTAAGGTCGATCTACTCGCCGAGTAGGTCTTTCTTTTCACCCTTTAATCTTCACTTGCTTCCCTTTTCTCCTTTTTGCCTCCAAGCATATCTTTCGGACTGAAAACACAATTCAAAGCATTTTAAGTACCTTTTGTCCATATTATTCTCATAACTAACCAAAAATAACTAAGAATATATGTTAAATAATTAACTAATTATGCACATATCACACATAAATATCATACGCTAGCATATATAATAGTCAAACCGATCTAATAGATTACTAATCATAGAAACATCCTATAACCAGGATATAGACCTGACTAGTCACTAACATAGCATCATCCTATATATCAAGATACCGACCTAACCAGGTCACTAAGCATATCACCATCCTAACTACCAGGATGTAAGTTAATAAGCATATCATGTAATAACCCATATAAAAATTCGTAAAGGGCCGATATTGGTGCCTTCGACCTTGTTAGTATAGTGAGGACAACTCACATTTCAAATAGCTCAAAAATGATAATATCAACCTCCTCTAATTACAACTCCAACACCCGTACCTATAACCATTAATGATCCAATTCCATAAATTCCCAAATTACCAAAATAACCCCAGAAGTCAAACTGGTCAACCCTTGGTCACAGGCAAAGTCAACGGTCAAGGTCAACAGTCCATGTTGACCAAACTCGTCGAGTACAGCTCACTAACTCGTTGAGTCCTTCTAGAACACAAAGGAATCGTGAAGATCCTAGTTGACTCGCCGAGTTCCTAGGCAACTCGTTGAGTTCATGCGTGTCCAATTGTCGGGAAAACCGTAACTGACTCGTCGAGTCGTCTACTGACTCGCCGAGTTCATGCAGAAACCCTCAAGGCTAATCTTCATCGGACTCGCTGAGTTGGCAATGCAACTCATCGAGTCCTTTCAGTCCTTTTTCCATTCAGATGTTTATAAGCAACCCCAAAGCTCTATATTGCAGATATGAGTTTGTAGGGTATACTTCCTACGTAAAGTTGAAAACTTTACGTACATGCAAGGTGCTAAGGGAGAAAATAAGCTAAAGAAGAGGTTTTAAGGGATGAAAATGCATTATCTTGCTAAAGGCTGAGGCTTTATGACTATAAGAACCAAGATGAGCCTAGATCTAAAGTTGCAACTTCAGATCATGGCCAATACACGAAATGAATTACCAATCATGCTAAAATGGACCTAATCTCAAGCATGAAGAGATATACATAGAAGGAAGTTCAAGGTAACGACTTGTTACCTTCAACTGATGCTAAAATGTAGTAGATTTTAGATCCACAACTGTTCCTTGCTCCAAGCTTCTTGATCTTCAAGCTCCTTTCACCAAGATCTTTCTCACAAGCTTAAAATCACATAAATATGGAAAGAAATTATGATTTAGGGTTTCTGAGCTCAAAGGGGGTTGTAAGGGAGGATAACGACCCTTTAAATATGGTGCAAAACCCTGAAAAATAGGGTTTCATCCTCCAACTCCAACTTGTCGAGTCGTGTCCTCCAAATCGTCAAGTTGGTCACTTAAAACACGTGACCAAATCCATTCCTACTCGATGAGTCAAGGCACCCAACTCGTTGAGTCGACCTTTCAAAATGGAATTATAAGACTGTAAAGTTTATACCTGAGATTTGGAGTGTTACATAAAATCTTCCGAATAAGACTCGAGACCCATAAAAGACCGAATTGTCACATTACACCTATACCCTTGGCCTCCAAAGCTACAACCGAGTATTTTTAGAATTGGGTGTTACACAAATCAGTAGTGAATCCGCAACAAACACCACAACTAACTAATGGGCCGACCTTAGTGCCTTCGACCCATTGGTATGGTGAGAAGACTCACCTCTGTCCACTGAATCCGAAAGTTGCTCTCCTAACAATCTGTAACCTCTTGTGCTTAACAAGAATACCGTTAACCCAAGGTTAGGGTTGAATATAATCCAATTAAAGAACCCAAGCCCCAAGCCCTTTCATAATGGCCCAAACGTCTCCCATTGCTAATGGGCCCAAAGCCCATGTCTAAAAATCATTAATGGGCCTCATGGCCCAATAAAGCACAACCATAACAATCATGGCCCAAAACAGATAATTTGGCCCACTAACTCAAAACTTGACTAGTCCCAATAACTGATTAAGGCCCAAAGGGCTTACAAGCCCAAAACAAGTCCAAGTCCATCTGAGTGCATACGCCCTGCGTACGACTCCTATACGCTTAGCATACTGAGTCCCTGAGTTGTACGCGTTGCGTGTGCTATACTACGCCCAACGTACAAGCAAATTAAGCACCTTCTTCCATTAAGTGCTTAATACTTGATGTTCCAACGTCCAATCTTTAGATTTGATCCCATTAAGACGTCCTAAGGCATAAAGTTGGCAACTTTATGGCTTTGCATGTTCCATATGCTCCCAACAACCCAATAAGACCTTTCTAAGAGTCTTAATCCATACATGAGGTCTAAACACCCATCAACACTCCATTTTTATGCTATGAATGGACCAAAGGACTTCAGATCTATCCTCCCTAAGCTCTGGAGTTGCTCAAACTCTCAAGAGGTGGTCCAAGAACACAAAAGGGACTAAAGAGAAAACCTTAGCTCTAGGAATGAAAATGATGACCAAGGTGAAAGCTTTTTACCTCCTCAAGCTTCCTAAGTTGCTCAAAATGTAAGATCCAAAAGTTGTTCCTCGTTCAAGCTTGATTCTTCCTTTTCCTTGTAGCTAACACACCAAAAGGATGTGTTTAAACACTCACAAGCTCAAGAACACACTCTCTAATAATATTAGGGTTTTCAGGGACATTTGAGGGTGACGGAGGCTGGTTATGGTGAAGCTCAAATGAGATAAGGAGGCTAATATAGGTCTTAAGTCCGGAAATTTGGGTTTAAACATTCGTCATGTACGCCCCGCATACCCTTTGGTACGCCCAACGTACGTGCTGCCCCTCCGCGATCATCCATGCATGGTACGCTAAGCGTACTCCTGAAGTATGGCTAATGTACTTAAGGGACCTTTATGCAGTATTTATAATTTCAAGTGTTCCAAAGGTAATACCTGATTTGGAGTGTTGCACCAAATATTAAATTTGTTTTCATATAACACCTTTTTTTTTCTTGTTTTAAGTTTCACACCTATCATTTTTATTTATTTATTATTTTTTTTAAATGACAAATGAATTAAATGGAAGCCAACTCGTAATATTTCAACGAGCACATCGGGTTCGAGCTCATTGACATGGTAAACTCAGCCTCCATAGTGATTTGTAGGAAAAAAAATTCTCACATATGACCAGTGGCGGATCCAGGATCAAAGTAAAAGAGTATCCCCGACAAAAAAAATCGCATAATACATAATAAGAAAAAAAATCCAGAAAAAATTACACTACTAAATTTTTTTGAGGGGTATCTCGGGCTACACAGGGATACATACTAGATCCCCCTATGGATATCATACCACAATAAGTAGTTTAAGGGAATCAAACTCGAAAACTTATGTCCCATATGAGTATAAAACCCAATACATCGATCCAAACTAGGCTAGACAAGTAGACATCGCTTGTAAACACCTATCATTTGGCACCGAATATTTATTCCGTGTAAAAGAGAATGATACAAATCATGGTTCTTCTCTAGAGAGAACTACTTATCAAATACGATACAAATCTTATTCATAAGGACGAACACACGTGAAATATTATTTACATGTCAAATAATCTAACATTTAAATAAAAAGGATAAAACTTCTATTAGAAACTCATAGAATGCTATCTATTAAACAATACTTGGAACGCATAATTGGATCTCAAAATTTTTAAACTATTTATAGGAATCCCAACCATTTTACCATGTAAGATTTATTCATGCTACAATTACAATACCCATTATTGTAATACGCGCGTTTGTATGGAAAGGTTACTTCAAAAGGTTATGCAATAATAATATTATATATATACGAGTTTAATCAAGGGGAGGTTTTCGCCGGTGGGACTGTAGGGAATCCTGGTACCGGAGGTACTGGAGGTAGTTGAGGTAGTGGAGGTAGTGGAGGCAGAGGAATTGGGAACGCCGGCGGTGGTGGCGGCGGCGGTGATGGAATCAAACCTGGTACAGGTGGAAACGGCAATGGTGGAAACAACGATGATGGTGGTGATGGAACTAGGGGAGGAAACAATGATGGTGGTGGTGATGGAACGAGGGGAGGGAACAGTGACGGTGGTGGTGATGGAATGACGGGAGGAATCAATGAAGGCGGCGATGGTACAAACGGCAGCGGTGGGAACAGTGGCGGTGGAAACGGGAAACCAAAACTTTTTTGATCGGCCAATCTATCGGATTCCGATGATTTTTGGCGGCTAACAGGTGGAAGTGGAATACCAGGGAGCTGTGGTAGCGGGGGAATTAGAGGTGGCATGGGTACATCCGGCACCGGAAGAGGAGGTAAAACGCCTCCACCGATCGGCGGCAAGAACGGCGCAGGAATATCAGGAAGCGCCGGTGGAAAACCTTTTCCGATAGTATCTTTCTGGTTACACAATTCGGGCTTAAAAGTGAAAAACCCAGCTGAGAAAACATGAGTCCCCGCCTTCTTCGACTTAAAACGAATCTCCGACGAGGTGGCGGTGGCAGCCACCGCACAGTACGGCTGGCCGCTGCTAATCAATCTAACTGAACACCCTTTGATTTTCTCCACACTTCTACCAACTGAAACCGGCAGTTTAGCTTCAAACTCACCCTTCTCGTTCGTCTTCACTTCTACCCGGAAACTCTGCTTCCCACCATCGCCGCCGCATTCCACCGCCACCTTCGCACCTAAACAAGCAATACAACCCCCATTAATAAAAAAAAAACCCCGAGAAAAACCAATATACATATCACAAGATCAACAACAAGAACCTGAAATGAAATGGGTGGATTTGGATACTTTTTGACGGAAGCAAGTGTCACAGTAGACAGTTCCGACGACAATGGCTGGAGAGTGCAGCTGTTTCCGGTGTCTGGCATCCGCGATGCCATTAATGGAGAAACAAAGGAGCACCACCATGAATGAAACCCATGAAGACATTCTGGAAATTGTGTAAGTTCTACTGGTGAAGAAGCAGTTGTTTTTATAGGGGAATTATTCACGAGAGTTTGGATTCATTATGTCAATCATGCAAAAACCAGTATAACTCCAAACCAAACTAGCAGTGAATGAGCTATTCAGCTATAGTAAAAAAAACATCGTAACCGCAAAAGAAACAGTTTTGACATAAATTAATATTGGAACTCACGATCTTTAAATTTGTTCCGAAATTTACATTGTTTTATTTAATGATAACAAATTTTGATTGTTTTCTGTACATTTCTATTTAATATTTTTATTGATAAAAATATATTTTTTAAAATTTCTGCTTAATTATAAATTTTGTAATTTAATTTATCCAAATAGTAAGATATTATAATTTTTCTTTGGTTGATACTAACGTGCTGTTTGTTTTTTTTTTTTTTGAAGCAAAAATTCATAAAGTCTGCGGATCACCTCTGCAACCCTCTGCAGTAGAAGTGATAGTCCAAACGGATGCAGACTATAATAAGAAGCGTGTTTGTTTTTTTAACATCTGCATGTTGCTGCAGATATTAAAAAATTTAAATAAACTGATTTTATATTCCAAAAATAGTTTTTAAAAAAAATAAAATAATGTATGATATTTCGGTAAAAATTTATGATTTTTCAGCAAATAATAATAATATTTTAACAAAAAATTAAAGATATTTTTAGCATAAAATAATGATATTTCATAAAAAATTATTATTATTTAATATAAAAAAATTCAATAAGAATAAACAAAAAAATAACGAAATAAAAGTGAAATAAAATTTCAACAATATATAATTAATATTTTAGCAAGAAAAAAAAATGTTGGAAGAGGTAGGAAAAGGCAAAACAAGTGCTGCGCCAAGAAGAACACGAGCAAATATTTTTTAATCTGAAGACTTCTGAAAAATAAACAGTTACGAGATGAAAAGTGTTGCGCCGCGCAACAATAAAAGGTCTGAAAATATTTTTTCCAAAAAAACAACCATAGTTACTAACTTCCAGATTCTACATACTATTCTTTTGAATAATTGGATTTAATGTAAGTGTTTCAGTCTCTTGAGTTGACATTTATGTCTTGAAAACATTTAATGATTTTTTTTGGTAAAAGCATATTCGTCGACAACAGATCAAACTGAATAAAATTTAGAGGACATAGTATTAACTGTCATTTAACATTTTTTATTACAACAAACAAAATAAAACATAATAACCAAATTTCCTAAGTTTTTTTTCTACAAAATAAGCAAAAATCAGATAAACTTAACTATAATAGCCACAATTTCGCAGACACCATCTATTAAAATCTAGGATCCTAATTTTTTTTTGGAGATTTTTTCAGTTCACTATTGTGATTGATCAATTGATCAAGATACTTTGAAGTTAAAAAAATATGATTTTCAAACACCAAATTTAAAATGTAATATGTTTATCGAAAGCTGTTGTTAAAAAAAAACATTCTAAAAACATTTTAGCTCATTTTTTTTAATGAAAAAGTTATGAAGATTAATGATTTCATAGGTGAATTTTTTTCATTTTTTTGCCATCTAGTAGAAAAACCTTGAAATTTTGGCTATTATGATTATTTTCTTAATAAAATAAGGTCCTTAAAGCTATTATTAAAATAATAATACAAATTCTTTAATATTCAAAATTCGGTGGACTGACACTTGCATATTTTTCAAGTGGTTTTCAAACTATTTGACTTATTCTTTCGTTAATCAATCTTTTAATCTTATCTAATTTGATCATTAACAACCTTTTTAATTTTGGAGTTTCAATATTTTCGTAGCATGGGTTGAACTTTTAATCTTATCTATTTAATCATTAACAACCTTTTTAATTTTGGAGTTTCACTATTTTGGTAGCATGAGTTGAAGCTAGCCATTTTAATAATCATATTATTTTGTTGGTATATTGGTTGGAAATGTGAGTAGCTCCAAATTAGGCAAATGCGACCCAAATCGTTCACGGGAGTGTTACGTTGGCCACAGATTCCATGAGGGTTGTCAGGCTAAGAATTGTATCATGGCTATCATTTGAACATTCTTGGATAAAATAAATCATTCATCATACTTCTATCTCGACACGTGTCAATTACTCAATTACAAGACTTAATACGTGAAGTACAAATGTTAATGCTTGATACTAAATTTTGTAGCATGAAGGACAAAGGGATTAATTTGAAACGGGGATATGGTGAAGAGTTCACTGTTCACATGCATCGCTTTTACGTAAATGGTTGTGTTCGTTGTAGCATGTCGGTCTTGCTACTTATGTATGTACTTAATGCAGTAGGTATAGTACATGAGAAAACTGATAGAAAATTTTTCATGATAGTTCGTTAACTCACTTGATTTATTTTTTATGGGCATGGGTTTAATCCACATGATCGAACTGGCTGGGAATTCTTTTAGGAATGTGGAACGTATGAAGTATTAAAAATTTAGTAACTAATATAACATCCGTTTTCCAGATCAGACCAACTAAAGATTTAAGGAGACCAAAGATGTGGTATTTGGAAAAAAAAAACATATGCCATGACATGGTTGGTTCATGTCTTGATGACCACGACATGGAATGAGACTAAAGTGACACATGTGTCCTCATGGATACCACGACATAACGACGGGTGCAGGCTAAGCCTATGATTTTTAGGGTTTCCTCTATATTTAAGGACCTTAACTTTAGAGTTAGGTCATTCTCTTCAGCATCCACCCTCCTATCTCGAAACCATAGCCTCATTTGAGCGTTCTTGATGTGTTATTGGACTTCTTTAAGTTTGAAGCCTTGGATTGCACCTTGAGAAGAAGAAAAATGTGTGATTGCTAATTGGAAGAGTGTGTCTACTTTAGATCTTGCATCTTGTGCATCTTGTGCATCTTGTGCATCTTGGGAAGGTATAAAGCTTCCACCTTTATCATTCAATTCTCTTATTTCATGCCTTGAAGTACTTTAAAGGAATGTGCTTGGAGTTTTGGGCAACTCTAGAACTTTAGGCTTGTTTGGTGACCATCTTTTGGCCTTATTTGATGGAAAAAGTGTTAAGTCATAGTCCCCTTTGTTCAATGCACAAGTTTTGGTCATATTAAGTGTTGGATTAGGTGGCTAAACCCATAACTATTATTGGTATATACTTGGCTCGATTATGAACATTGTCATTTTGGGTTGCCTTCACTCATGCAACTTGATAGGATGACATGAGGAGAGAGAGAGAGAGTAGAATTTATTATATGTATAATAATTTGGAACTCGAAATGGTTTTATTAATATATTACAAGATTAATATATTATTTGGAAATCATATTATTGATCGGAAATTAATTTGGTGATCAAAAGAGACTGATTAAATAATTGGGGACTCATATTCCAATTATACGATAGTTGTAATTTGGGCTGTGGACTCCTTATAGAAGGGATGGACGAATTCTATGGGAAGCCCATAAGGAATTCGTCCAAGGGGCCTTCTAGAAGGGTTCATTGGATTGCTCGGAAATTAATTTGGTGATCAAAAGAGATTCATTAAATAATTGGGGACTGATATTCTAATTATACGATAGTTGTAATTTGGGCTGTGGACTCCTTATAGAAGGGATTGACGAATTCTATGGGAAGCCCATAAGGAATTCGTCCAAGGGGCCTTCTAGAAGGGCCTTCTAGATGGTTTTAACTAAATATAAACTATGAAAAGAAGTAGTAAAAACGAAACTATCACTTGTCTTTTTCTACTAGATCCTTCTCTAATGTTTCATCAATAGAAATCAACTTTTGTATCACCTCCTCAAGCTTTTTTTGGGGGTCAGGGAGGCCGCACTTGTGGGAAGTGTGGAAAGGTTCATGACGGGGTATGTCAATCAGGAGGAGTATGCCACAAGTGTGGCAGGGAAGGGCAATATGCGAGGGATTGCTGCCATTTAGCCCGAGTCTAGAGTATGATGATTTTCTATCACTGTGATCAGGTTGGCCATGTGAAGGTCAATTGTCCATTGCTCGTCGCTAAGCCGACGTCGGCCCCCGCGCTAGCTACTTTAAGGATCACAGATGGACGAAAGAGGAAGGCAGATCCCTCGAGGGCTCGAGCCCGTGATTTCCAGCTCACTATCGAGGAGGCTAGGATAGCACCAGATGTTTACGGAGAGGGAACCAGGATGGGTTCAGGGTTTTGTTCGGCACCCAGGGCTCGACAGTATATTCAGCACAAGTGTGCTGGTTATTTGGCTTATGTGGTGGACACGTGGGTTGGGGATCAAGTGTCAGTTGTTGATGTTCCAGTTGTTAGGGAGTTCACTGATGTATTCACGAAGAAGTTACCTGGTGTGCCTCCTGAGAGGCAGGTTGAGTTTAGGATCGACCTTGTTCCAGGTGTGGCTCCTATTGCCAAGGCGCCATACCAATTGGCACCGCCTGAGATGCGGGAGCTGTCATCTCAGCTCCAGGAGCTGCTAAACAAGAAGTTCATCTGTCTTAGCAGTTATCTGTGGGGAGAACCGATTTTATTAATGAAGAATAATGATGGTTCACACCAGATTTGCATTGATTACCGGGAGTTAAACAAGTTAACGGTGAAGAACCGTTATCCCTTTCCGCGGATTGATGATCTCTTTGATCAGTTGCAGGGAGCATCTTGGTTCTCTAAGATTGATCTGAGGTCTGGGTACCATCAGGTCAGGGTGAGGGAGGAGGACGTGAAGAAGACCATGTTCAAGACTCATTATGGGCATTACGAGTTTGTGGTGATGCCATTTGGGCTCACCAATATGCCTACTATATTTATGGATTTGATGAATCGGTTATGCAGGTCGATGCTCTATCTCTCAATTAGTGTGTTTATTGATGATATATTGGTGTATTCCAAGACCAGAGAGCAACATGAGGAACATCATCTTCGCGAGCTTTTAGGGGTTTTGAGGTGAGAACGACTTTATGCTAAGTTCTTGAAATGTGAGTTTTGGTTGCAAGAGGTTTAGTTCCTTGGATACCTCATTAACCAAGATGAGATTTTGGTCAATCCAGCCAAAATTGAGGCCCTCCGAAAGAGACTTTGCGAGGCCCTAGTTTTGACCCTCCCCGAGGGAGTCTAGGACTTTGTGGTTTTCTGTGATGCTTCCATTACCAGATCGGGGGCAGTCCTCAGGCGGAGAGGACAAATGATAACTTATGATTCA